CTGGTCTGAAATATCTACATCTAACTACACCTGACACCATCAGATATAGACGAGATACATGGAGAGGAAACACTTTTGACAACTCAGACATCTGAGAGAACTAAACTGATTCTTCAGAAGACAAAGATGTTGGACACCATTGTTTTAGTCTTTAACAAAGTGTTTTAACAGCTTGTTATATTATATATTGTTGCCTGCATGTCTCAGTGGGTTTAAACATTAATGAGCCCGGACACTCTGGACTCAGCCCCAAATGTTTCACAGTGCAGCTGACGCCCCTGGAAGAAACCATCTTTGAGAAATTTGTWTTTGACTTTTTAGATTGGACCATGTTCCATCCACTAACGTGGAGGAGGCAGAGTTTATGACCTACACTGCAGCCAGCCACCAGGGGGTGATCAAGATGCTTTGGCTTCACTTTTGGGGAGAAGTCATGTCGTCCATCTTTTTTTACAGAAGTAGAACACTAGTACTTGTACTACACTAGTGTGTCAGTACTGTCAGTAGTACACCAAGAGTTCAATGTTCCCATGCAGAAAAAAGTATTTAAAAACACATGAAGTTATGTACAATACATTATCTCAAATACTCCAGCAGGTGGTGCTGTGTTAGTGAAATACTGTAGATTAAACTCACACAKTGACGGAGAGTGGAAATCCTCGAGTCCTTTAACAGCACAGGAAACTGTGTCTGCAGGACCAAACCAAGCTGAATAAGATGCTCCTTCAATCTTCTTCTGTTGATTCTTGTACCAGACGTAGGTCAGATGATCAGGAAGACGACAACTGCTCTGACACTTGAGCTCTGCATAGTGAATAGATTTACCCTCCACTGGTGTGTTCACCTGCACATGCAAATCTGTATGTGAGAATAAGGAATTCATYTGAGTCCAACCTGACGACACACACATGTATATAAAAGTGCACAGACACACTCAAGTGAACCACACAAGATGTAGGAGATACATGAATGAATGTTCAGATGAAAATGTTACCTGTGACAGACAAAGTGACTCCAGCTGAACCAGTAAAACTGTCTTGGTTTGTTGTGAACCTGAACTTGTACACAG